CTCTCTCTCTCTCTCTCTCTCTCTCTCTCTCTCTCTCTCTCTCACACACACACACACACACACACACACACACACACACACACACACACAATCAAAGAAGAAGCTTTCCAGCTTCTACAACACTTCACAGTTGTAACAGAGGTCCTAGACAAAGGTAGAGAGACCGACTGTCAATCCTTGGTTATCGATCGCAAGTGAAGCAAACGATGCTGGTTGGTAGTTGGCCGGAGTGATGTTACAGACGAGAGAAAAAGGCTCCGGGTCCCTCAGCCACAATGGGGAAAAGCATGACACCAGGTACCATTGTATATAGTATAACGACTTGTCACTGATGCAGTGGAAAAACAGCCAGACTGATGGTGCCTCGGAATAGGACGGAGCCATAGCCGAGGACCTGTGTTTGAAAAAAACAGAAAAGGAAAAAAAAAGTAAGCAATTTTTGACCAACTTCACTGATAATGTCTGGGTTATAAGGGTGTTTCAAAGCATACGCACACTAGGATCTCCCTGGATATATCTGACCGCAATTCCGTCCAGAAATCAGTTGGAAAATAGTGTGAGTATTCCCTCAGACTAGATTGGACTGCTCCAAGATGCGATTTGATCGCTCTGCCACAGAAAATGGCCAACACCCATCATCATATATCACTTACGAAAACTCACTCACCCCTTTCGTCCCCAGCAGCAAGACAGCACGCCTTGTCGGTAAAGCCAGACACATGCCCATGTCAGAGGATTGCGCCCTATATCAAGCAGCGGACCCTGCATGACCATTATTCAGCCACTAAATCATGAGATAATGCAACGAACACCCCCCCCCTCCACCCATTACCCCCAACTCCCCCCCCAACTCCCCCCCCAACCCCCCCCCCCAAACCCGCCAACACCACACATAAAAGAAAGAAACATGCTAGAAAGACATTGAAGGAAGACCAAGGTAAAGGAAAGACAAAGGGAACCGATTGAGAGTTTCTCAAGTGGTAAGTGAGGACACCACTTATACACAGAACAACAACCCGCCCCCCTCCTTCCTCACACGCACACACACACAAATCAGTCGGCGAATGTCCAACGAAACAGTCGGGCACAGTCATGACTTCTTTTTTTTCATGCAGTTTAGACAACAAACATGACAACACACACACACACACACACACACACACACACACACACACACACACACATGCACACACACACACACACA